TAAATACTCACTTACTTATAATTAATGCTATGAAAATTCATAAGACAAATGGAATTTATACCTGTTATAATTAGTAAATTTTAGTTAAGTATGTTTAATAATATACTTTAATGAGAATGCAGTACAATAGGGACATATCTGTCATTCTAGGACTGTTTTTAATAGGTATAAATTCACATATAACCCAATCTTAGTAACATGCACATCATGAAAATAACAACTGTATGAATTGTTCTGCATGCATTAAAGAAAATTATTGTATATTACCTGCTTAGCAAATGAAGCAAACCTGTATGTTCTGATCAAGAACAAGTACCAAAACATTTCATGCCTAACATATATAAGACATTTTGACTTCTGGGTTTAAGTAAGACATGTAATGATATTAATCTAAGGTGTTTTTCCAAAGCAGAGATATTTAATAAAACTTTAACTTAAAAGACTTTAATACAAATTTATATAAAATATAAATGCTAGCCTTTTTTCTAGTATACCCCCATAAAATGTGATTCTAAAACTAAGCTAATAAAGGGACCTTAGAAAGTTTTTTTTTTCTTTTATAAAACCTATGATAATGTCTTCAGCTGAAGAAATATCATTTTTCATTTCCTCTGAGGATATCATTAGATTTGAATTTGACAAAGAACACTAGGTGTTCAAAATTGTTTAACCTCATATCCTGTATATTCTTGAAAAAACATTACAAGCTAATCAAGAATGTAGGCATCTTCACTTTCAGTTTACAGAAAATAGAGTGATATAGAATCAAGCCAAGTGTGTGGAAACAATACGAGAAATTGAGAATGTGGAACACTATACTTGAGCACTAGTGTGAAACCTTTCAACGTTGAAATTATGAAAATGTAAACATGACCAAGAAATCAATGCATTGGAGAGTAAAAACCCAAAACTAAAAGTTATTCAATGTAACTAATTTTTGTTGTTTGTTTAGATCCTGGTTTGTAAATCAAACTCAATAAAAATATTTCTGATTGGCATTGCATTGAACTTATAGAGAACTTTTGGTAATATCGCCATTTTGATGATGTTAGTTCTGCCTATCCATGAGCAGGGTAT